AAATAAAATTTGTTATCCTTTGTTGACCTCATTTTTGTATGAGGTCACTTTTAATTCATCCCTAAGTTCTAGATCCTAGGATCTTCCTAGTTCCTACCCTTAGGCTCAATCCAAATCTTAATTCAATCCAACCCAGAACCCTTAGGCTAAAGACTTAGGTCCTAAAGCCTTTCTAGGTGATTTTCCATCATTTTGAAACCTAGTCTTTTGACATCCGATTCAAGGTCTATCAATTTCATATTGATTGACATGTCTCTAGTGTCAACTCTCCAAATTTGAACTCATTTGGAGGGCTCTAACCCCATAAACTTTAATCCAATTTTCCAAAGGATTTTCCACTTAAGAAAATAATAAATGTCTAATAAATTGTCATGTTCCTAATGTGCTTTTCAATCAAAAGGTCATCTCACCGTCATACTCATTTCAAACTTATGGCTTATATAAGATGATAATTGTTCACATAAAGTGTCATTTATTTGTACTATTAGTATATTAGACTTCATTTTGTTAATAAATAATGCAATAACAACAATCCCTTTTACAAATGGCTTTTATCCAATAAAAATGTGCCATGTCTATTGTAACATACTATATATATATTTTACTTGTAGACATAATCAGAAAATGTAGTGCTTTCAAATCTAAGGGGCTACTCAACATATACATCCACTTTAATCACTCCATTTAAATATATAATTTTTTACTTCAATTTGATATAATTTAAATCCTTTAAAATATGTAAATGATAATAACAATCTTATAGCCTCTAATCATACATTTGCGGAAATGTTTCTTTTTTATTTATTCCTTCTATCTGGCTTTATCTCATTGGTACCATTCTTGCCTTATTTCTCACTATTGATCTATAGTTATTTAATTTATAATTAAATATTTACAATCTAATCATATGATATAGATACTAAGTATCATTCATCATTTATAGCAAATTGATTTAGTTATTCCTGCATAGTTATAATTCAAAAATTAGTAGCTACGGCCTCATATACACTAGTAGGTTCAGCCATAGAGATAAATGTGGTATGACTAATCTCTTACCCAATGCAATGTCTGGTTTTAACTTTAATAGAAGGATCTTCGATAATCAAGTCTCTAAGGTACCTCGATTCATACCTATAATCTTTGTTGACCTCATTTTTGTATGGGATCACTAGGACATTTCCCCAGACCTTAGGTCAACCTGAGTTTGACTAGTTCAAACCCTTAAACTTTTCTACTTTGAATCAAGCCTCAATTACATTCAAAACTATGTCAAACTCTTTTGATCACTTCACTCAGTGATTTAGACTTGATTAGACCTTTGACCCAATCACTAGTTGACTTGGTCAACTAAGCCCGAGTCTGGTCAACTCAAGCCAACTTGGTTCAATCCCTTGAATCCAATAAAACCTACATATTCAAATCTTCAATTCCATTCCAAATTATGATTCAAATATATCTAAACTCATTTGAAATCAAGTCATGCATGGTTCATTTGACCAAGTCAAGTTATTTTGACTTGGTTAAACCTATTTAAAACCTCTTACATTACCTCAAACTCCAATTGCTTGGTTTGACCATCTTTCAATCCAATGAGTGGTGCCACCTTACATGCCACATCAGCTACCTTGACCCTTTGATTGGTCAAATAGTCAATGGAGGGTCAAAGTAACACCCAAATGACTTAAACCCTTCAAATCCATTAAACCCAAATCCCATTCAATGCTAGATGCCAAGACTTCTTCTAAAACATTCTTGAGCTGATTCCAACCATTGGATTAAGATCAAATGACTTAAATTATTTCCATATGCCCTCAAGGGGACAAAATAGCCTTTACACGTAGGATGTCCTATTGTCCTTGATTCCTCATGCTCCTAACAACCGCCAGGCCACGTGGCAGTATCCTAAAAACCTACCAAGTGGATCCTAGCTGCCCATTCAATCCAGGGATGTTTGAATGGGCTAAGAGACCTAAAACATCTCTCATTCTAAACCCTAACTCTCTGTCTCCAGACTCTAACCCCTTCAGCTAAGCTCTATGCTCATTCAAGCCCCTAAGCTTCTCCTCCATATATTCCTATTCCAATCTGACCGGTCAAAGTCACCGGAAACACACCTCCGGAGAGTTCAAGCTCAAGTCCGTCCAAGCCTCATAAAGCTCGATCCGTATCCCTTCTGGTCGCGAAGTCTTTAGGGGAAATAAGCGTGGACAGACAATAAATTCAGATCTATCTTAATCACATTAAACCGTCCCTTAACCAAGGTAAAAAGTTTAACCCTAGTTTAGGGAACTTAGGCTAAATAGCTTTCGATTCAATGTATCTTAGGCTATAAAATTAATACCCCAGATTTCTTGTTCATGATTTTGATTTGTATTAAAAATTTCACTTGAAATAATTGAGTGTATCGAGCAAACTAGTCACAAAACTCGTTATAGGGCTTAACTTACGTAACCCTCCAACTATGTAAGATATAGATCGTTGATCTTATGATCAACTGTTCGGATATAGCCTTAATGCGCTTCGTCCGACCATGGATCTTATCTAACGGTCATTCATTCCATCCAGCGGCATCTAGGCCCATGATCTAGACCGCAGGATTAAAATCCTTTCGCCTGATCTCTCTCCGTGAGATCAGACAGCAGGATCTAATCTGAGATGTTTGTTTCATAAGGTGGAAGATCAGACAGCTTGCCACGCCGTCCGATGTGGTTTAAGTGATACCGCGTCCCGCTGTATCATTTCCCCAATCATCAACATCACTCTAATTATTGTACCGCCATCTAATGATTGGCCGCGGTCGAATCCCTCCAATCTAATCACGTCACATGGCATTCTGCTATTGCCGCACTCGCCAACGCTGCCACCCTTTAAAGTTGATTTAAAATTATTTTAAAATCAAATTTAATAACAAAAAAATGTAAAAAATATTATAAATTAATTTAAATAAAAAAAATCAAGTTTTAAATATAATAATTTTTAAAAAATTATTTCCTTTAATTTAAAATTAAGATTATTTAAATTCAATAGTTAAATAATTTTTTTTAATTTAAAATTTTAAAATATGAGTTCATATTAATTTATTATTTATCCAATTAATAGTTCACTTATTAAAACATACATTAATATTTTTTTTTAAATGTAAAAAATAATTTTTATTTTTTCAGCATATTCAAATATTGTAGATGTAAGTAACGGCTATAAGGGCATTTAGGTCAAATGACGGCAGCAAGAAAGCCAAACTAATTTATCGATTTAAGGGGCTCTTTGGTTGCCTGAATTAGGAGGGTAAAGTAAAATAAATATATGTATTTATTAAATTCGGTTGTTTGGTTAATTTTGAATGGAACAAAAGGAAATCTTCCGAAGCATTAGGCGTGTATTACAGGAGGCGTATCCCACGACTTTGAAAGCCGCTCAATTTGAGCGGATTTGAAATTCTTCGCTCGAGAACAGGACGAGCCCTCCTCTGAAGAGCGAAGTCGAACAGCCAAGAGGGAGCCGAAATCGAATAGCAACGAAGGAAAGGAACGAAGGAGCGATCCTTGCGGCCTGTCGCTCTCGCGCGAATGAACGAAGTCCGACAAGGGAGCCGAGAAGCAGAGTCCAAAGCTACGGTGAGAACAACAGTGTTTTTTTAGTACACCGAAGAAGAAGCCCGTTTCAGGGTCGGTCAAAGCCGGCCTCCAGTTCCCCATAGGCCGTATCGGCCGCTTCCTGAAGAAAGGCCGTTACTCTCAGCGCGTTGGTACCGGTGCTCCCATTTACCTAGCTGCCGTGCTCGAATACCTCGCCGCCGAGGTAAATTTCTTTCCATTCATCTGTATTAATATTCAGATCTTGGGCTTGTAAGGTTCGATCTGTGATCTGTTTCTAGGTTTTGGAGTTGGCTGGAAACGCGGCAAGGGACAATAAGAAGAACCGTATTATACCAAGGCACGTTCTTCTTGCAGTAAGGAACGATGAAGAGCTTGGCAAACTTCTTGTTGGTGTGACAATCGCCCATGGAGGGGTGTTACCTAACATCAACCCTGTGTTGCTTCCTAAGAAATATGCTGCAGCTAAAGATGCGAAAGGGCCGAAGTCGCCAACTAAGAAGACAAAAGCTGCGAAGAAGGATTAGGTTGGGAATTTGTTATTTTTCGTCGATCTGTATTTAATTCAGTGTTTTTATTGTTGTTTCCTGGAAGAAGACAGTAGTGTAAGGTGTTTTAAAAATCTATTTTTGGTAATGGAAAAAAATGTTCGTTGCGCTTGATCTGATGGAAATCTTGTGTCGAGCTTTTAAGATTGTCTATTACTTTTTTTTTAATATGTTCCTTTGTAATTTGATATTTTGATGGAACTATTTGTATACTCACCGTTTTGATTAAGTGGCTTATTTTCTGCAAGTAATATTCGTAAGAGAAATCTAAAATAGGATTTGTGAAGTATCATGAGTTAGGATGGATGAGTAAAATTCAAATGTATTTAGAAGTATCTACTAATTTAATTTAAATCGAGGTTAGTGTACCGATTCAAGTGGGATTTAACTTAAATCGAGATCAGTACTGGTGGAGGCAGAGTCCAAACCTACGGTGAGAACAACACTTCCGCCGGAGTGAGTCCCCGTCCCATTTTGAATTAAATTCCCTTCCATCTCCCTCTGGTTCTTTGAGCTTTCTCGGGGTCTTGAATACAGGCATCAAGTTTATAACACAAAATAATACTTAATATTATAACAACAATGTTTTTATAAATGCACTAATTATAATATCAAAATAAATTATTAAAAATAATGTTTTTACTTTACTCTAGATGTACCTAACCAAACAACGGAAACAATTCACCTGCGTTTATTTTGCAGACAACCAAACAGACTCAAAATATTCAGAATGCATTACATTTACTTTACATTGCTTTTACTTTAGACCGCATTTCTTTTTCAGTCAACCAAACAGCCCCTAAGAGTGCGACTATGGCAGAGATGACCGAACAAAATCTTTCTTTATTTTCTTTTCTGCTTGAAGCCGAAGGTTTTAGGGGAAGGCAGAGTAGCGACTTGGTCTCTCTCTCAGCTCGAATCACGCCGGAAACGATGGTGTGGCTGCTGCGACGAATCGAAGGTGGGTGGGGCCTAGGGTTTGGGTTTCTCTCAAACTCTCTCAGTCCTCATCGAAGGTCTCGAAGCCGCAACGACGGATTCAAGCGGGGTCCCGCTGGGGCAGGGCCCCCCTCCGAAAGAAAATCTATACATGCACTTGCTTCGGGTGTTTTGGTTTTGGGCCGTTCGATATTCCCTTGCCCTAATACTTAAGCTGTTCGGCCTCAGAAGCTCTTGCATGGAGCAGGAAGATCGTCTTGTCGCCTCTGTGTTCGGCTTCAGAAGCTCTCGCACGGCGCACGAAGCTCGTCTTTGTGTTCAGCCTCAAAAACTCTGGCTCGGCACAAGAAGCCCTTGCTCGTCTCTTCGCCTCTGCGCAAGAAGTGGTGGTGATACGAGAAAGGGCGATGGGACTTGTGAAGGGCAGCTTCTCATTCAGAAAAGGTCGGTCAGTTCCCTCACATTCTCTCTCATTTATCCTCCACAAACAAACTAATTTTGAGCTGGAGTTGCTTAAAATGGTTGCTATGCTTGAAGGATATTGTTTTGTTAGTTTGTTAAAAATTGTTCTATGTGCCTTTATGCTTTTGCTGTAAATTTGGTTTTGATTAGTAACGCATGTGCGGGTTGCATAGTTTCAGTTTAGATGCTTTCTGAAGTTTGGAAAGCGGATGTCTCATTTGAAGCTTTTTCTCTGTTTTAGCAATTAGTTTTTTGTTTAGGTTAAAAAAAATTCCGTTTTAGTCTTTAGTTTTTTGTTTAGGTTTAAAAAAAGCTGATGTTTCTTTTGAAACCTTTTTCTCATTTGAAATTGCTTAGGGATTAAAAAAAAGGACACCCCTCTATGAAAATTTTTTGGCTCCGTCACTTGAGTGAGTTTTCTCGGCTTTTCTCTTGGTTCCATTATCAGCTGTTGTTTAGTATACTTAAAATTTGAATTTTTTTAAACCAAATTTTGAATTTAACACAAGCATGTGCTATTCTTTTGCTTTGCTTTTGAAATTCTGGCGTATCATAACAGAACCTTAAATTGCATTTGCATATTCTCCATGGTTTCATTACCATGGACAAGGCACTTTCGAAACAACTTGTCCACTGTGTTTATAAGTGATAATTTTACATCTAGCACAGCATATTTGTATATTAAATTCTGAAGGTTACGTTTGTTAAAAAAACAAGGCTACTCTAATACAACAAATGTTAGAAAAAGCCACTTGTTTGTGTGGAAGGCTGGAATCACTAGCTAGGATTGAGTTTGATAAACACAAATAAAATGACACAGATATCAAACATGTGGAAGACACATAAATAAACACAACAACAACAACAACATCAAGCCTTTATCCCACTACGGGGTTAGCTACATGAATCCTTTTTCTCCATTGGGTCATATTAAAATTCAAATTCTCGTTTAAATCTAATAAAGAAAGGTCATTCCTAATATTTTCTAACCAAGTCAATCAAAAAAATTCAATCATCAATCAGACAAGTAATACCCAGAAACACCCCTTAAAGAGAAGAACAACAAATAAATCAAATGCCAACACAAACAGTATAACCAAAGACAATAAAAACTATCTTTAGTTGAACAATCCGCAAGCAAACTAGATCCCATCAGTAAAAACTTGAAAAAATAAAGCTTCACCGTGAATATAATAAAAGCATCATTTATTGAGTAGAAAAATATGAATATTTATAGTCAATTTCACATTTTAAGCTTTGCGAGATTAGGGACAATGAATTTAATGTTCTAATGAAGTCTTGCTCTTAGATGTAATGTGTCACAAGAGTGGAGATGGTTGGAATCGATCAATAAATAATTATAGAAAAGTTTGTGTTTCTATCATCAATTGAGATCGGTGCTAGAAAGTTAACAAGTGGAAATCTACTTTCTATATGAGAAAGACAATAGAAAGCATTGTGGAATAAACCTGTTTTCTGGAAAAAAATCTATGCATCAAAATGGTCTGCTTCATTCAAATTGTATTGATTGTCTCAACCAAAAAAAATGTAGCCCACTTTGCCTATGGTATAGCTTCCCTTTTCCAGCAGCTGCATCTTTTGGGGTTTATTAAAGTTCCAATTTTTGATTTGGGTTCTCCTTTATCTGATGATGTGATGGACCTATATGAGAAAAACTGTGATACATTTGCTTTACAATATGGTGATTTTTTTTCTCATAACAAGGTATGTTCCTGCAATAGATTTTGCTACAAGATTTTTATTAAGTAAGACGCATTCACAACATATAATGTTATGGATTTTCACACTTTTTACTTGTTTGGATTAGATGTAAAAAATCTTTTAGTAAATAGCGTTTAGCATATTTTATTATCTAAGAATATTTCTTCATTCTTTGAAAAATTGATGTTGTTCTCTTTCTCTACTCTTTTCATTAGTTTCAGGCATATGTGTATGCTTATTTCTTTGTTGATTAGGTTTGTGTCCTCATAGCTATGTTCATATGTTATTTATCTGTTTTATCATGTATTTCCTCATGTTATGTAATTGCAAATATTATGTAATAGAAGAAGTCAATGGAAGGTAGCTACCTAGTCTCAAGAACTTTTTAGGAATCTTTAGAGATACTACAACAATACTTATACCGATTCAAGCAAACAAGATGCCATATATATGTAAGTTTCTTGCAACTTTAGCTCACATTTTTTAATTGGTGGTTTTTTTTAAGAACAATTACTCTAATGCTTTTTTTTCATCCAATTGATGCTCTTCTAAAATAATTTGAAACTATGAGCTTGAATGTTAATGTGATTGGAGCTTTTGCTTTGACCTTTGAAGCCCACACTTTTCACTTAAGTGAAGTTTAAGAAACTTATGCTTTTTTATTTTTAAATACTGTGAATGCATTGAGTCTATACCTCAAGCGAAGTATAAAGTTTCTGCCATAATTGGACAGGCATCCAATATTATTGTTTTAACTCATTTTTCAAGGTACTTCAAAAAGTAGTTGTTCACTTTGTTAGGGATATTTTTTCATTTTTAATTTGGATGTATGCTTTAATATATTTTGCTTGTTCTAAAGAGCCATTTTCTTAAAGAAAATCTTTTAATCCAAAAGTAGTTAGCATATCAAATTAACATGAAGGATATTTTTAGCATTATTTGTCACTTTATGTTGTTTCATTAGAACATGGATTTTAATGCATCTTACTTATTTTGCTTCGAGGGTATTTCTTATAGCGTCAAAGATTTTGTATTAATGTGATGTATATGATGTCTTTGAGCTCATTGAGATTTATTATAAAATATGTTAGTCCATCTATCTTATGAATGCCCATATAGTTGTTTCATGTCATATCTAGATTAGATAAGATATGTAAGTGTGTTGGAGCTTTATTGACATATTTTTGATATTTAAGTAGGCATGAATTTTAGATTCAACTTTAACTTGGTGCTAATATAAATAGAGAATATTTTTTGTGTGCCACTGAATGCTAATTATTGTTCCTCAATGAAAATTGAATTAATTTGAAACATATATTTAAATACTTTATTTTATTCTAAACTTTTTATTATTTCCTATTTTGTTTTTTTTATGTTTGTTGATTAATACTTTTTAAGTG